CCTCCAAAATCCCCAATTTTTATCCCCAAATTTCCCCCAAAAATCCCCCAAATTCCCCCTCAATCCCCAATTTCCCCCCAAAATCCCCAATTTCTCCCCCAAAACCCCCAAATTCCCCCCAAAAATCCCCAATTTTCCTCTCAAATTTCCCCCCAAATCCCCAAATTTCCCCACCAAATCCCCGAAGTTCCCCCCAAAACCCCCAATTTTCCCCCCAAAAACCCCCAAAAATCCCCCAAATTTCCCCCAAAAATCCCCCAAATTTCCCCCCTCAATCCCCAATTTTCCCCACCAAATCCCCAATTTTCCCCCTAAATCCCCAATTTCCCCTCCAAAATCCCCAATTTTTACCCCCAAAAGTCCCCAAAATCCCCAAATTTCCCCCAAAAATCCCCCAAAATCCCCCAAAAATCCCAAATTTTCCCCGGCGCCGCCCTTACCCACCGCGGCCACCAGGTGGCGCCGCGCCTTCACCGATTTTGATTTTTTGGGGCGAATTCCTCCGATTTTGGGGCTTTTTGGGGCCGTTTTTTTTCGGGTTTTTTCCCCCGAAATCCGTGGCCGATTTCGGGGTTGGATTTTTGGGGGGTTTTGGGGCGATTTGGGGTCCCCCCACCTAAAAATCCCCCAAATCCCCAATTTCCCCCCCAAATCCCCCCAAACTCCGGAATTTCCCGAATTTCCCCGGATTGTCCCCGAAGCGGCGCTCACCAGCGTCCAGCACGGCGCGGGCCCCGTCGGGCTCCAGGGCCAGGTTGGCCAGCGTGCGCGCCACGCGGTTCCGCGCGCTCTCGGGGACGGCGGGCAGCGCCAGCAGCGCCACTGCGGCACGGACAGAGCAGGGATGGACACTCGGACAGGGACAGACTGGACACTCGGACAGGGGTCAGGGATGGACACTCGGACAGGACAGGGGTCAGGGATGGACACTCGGACAGGGTCAGACTGGACACTCGGACAGGGCAGGGATGGACACTCAGACAGGGCAGGGTCAGGGATGGACACTCGGACAGGGCAGGGTCAGGGATGGACACTCGGACAGGGCAGGGTCAGGGATGGACACTCGGACAGGGGACAGGGCAGGGATGGACACTCGGACAGGGTCAGACTGGACACTCGGACAGGGCAGGGATGGACACTCAGACAGGGCAGGGTCAGGGATGGACGCTCGGACAGGGCAGGGTCAGGGATGGACACTCGGACAGGGGACAGGGCAGGGATGGACACTCGGACAGGGTCAGACTGGACACTCGGACAGGACAGGGATGGACACTCGGACAGAGCAGGGATGGACACTCGGACAGGGACAGGGATGGACACTCGGACAGGGTCAGACTGGACACTCGGACAGGACAGGGATGGACACTCGGACAGGGCAGGGGTGAGGGCTGGGC